GGCCACCGCCCCGAACCGCGGCTCCTCCTGGTCTACGTCACTGATTGACGAGCCGGGCGATACGCCAGGCGGCCGGGGCCCGCCGCGGAAGCCGCGCGCCAGGTCGCCCAGCTCGTAGGTGCCGTCACCCTCCGGCCCCTTGGCCCCGCCGCCCGCTGCCTTCCACTCCCAAGGGCCGTTCCCCGCCGACAGGTGGACCACGGGGTGGTGCGGCGCGTGCGCGTCGATGGTGACGATGCTGGCCGAATCGCGGTCCGATGGCGACCGGTATTGCGACGAGTCCGAGCTGGCGCTGGACGACGACCCCGTCTCGGCAGCCTTGGCACCCGCGCCGCCGGGCGCCTTGGACATGGCGAGGACCTGCAGCAGCCGCGGCGGGTTGGCCACGCGGGGCTGCGTAGCGGCCACGGCCGCCCCGGTCTTCTCGGCCATCATAAGCCACTTCGCGCGCACGGCGGCGCCGCTCTTGGGGGACAGGCCAGCCCCCGCCTGGGCCCCCTCCTCGGGAATGTGCACCAGCGGCTGCGGCGCCGCGCGCGGCGGCAGGATGACCCGGGGCCCGAGCCCCGGACGCGCCTGGACCGTCGGGTAGAGCGAGGGCGGCACCGGGCCCCCTTCCTCCTCTTCTTCCTCTTCCTCCTCCTCGTCGTCTTCCTCCTCCTCCTCCTCCTCCGCCATGGGCTCGGCCGGCGCCCTCAGGTGCACGGGGCTGGCCTCGTCCGGCAGCCCCAGGCCGCGGCCCTCCAGCGACTTCTGCTTCCACTCGGTGATGAGCTGCTTGGAGCGCGAGGCGTCCAGCGGCACGTGGATGGTCATGTGGCGGCGCGCGGGGTCGTCGAGCGAGGGCGTGCTGACGCGTGGCAGTGTATTGCTGAAGGTCACCATGTTCTCCTTGCCCATGGGGCTGCGCGGCGCCAGCAGGTCCACGTCCACGCTGGCGCGCTTCAGGCTGCCCAGCGAGCTCTTGTCGCGCGCCACCGGCCGCGGCGCGCCCTCCAGCCGCCCCGGCGGGCCCAGCTCGTCTGTGCTCACGGACTTGTTCTGCTGGTACACCGAGTCGTGGCCCCGCTGGGTCAGTGCGCGCAGTGCATCCTTGGCGGGCGCCGCCGCCGCCACTGCCGGCCTCTCCGCGGGCGGAGCCTGGAAGTTGCCCACCGCGTGGCAGGCCTGGGGGAGACACGGGCGGTGGTGGGCCCCCACGGGGTCTGAGGGGGGAAGCCAGGCCCTAAACCGGTGTCTCAAGGGGTAGGCCTGGCCTGGAATGGAGAGGTCTGAAGGGGGAGGTATGGCCAGGAATGGGGGGGGTCTGAAAGGGGAGGCCCAGACTGGGATGGGGAAGTCTGGCGGGGGGTGGAGGGAGGCAGGGCCCAGGTGGGAGAGTCTGTGGAGGGAGGTATGGCCAGGGATGGGGGCCCAGGTGGGGTGGGGGGTGTCTGAGGGAGGAGGTATGACTAGTAGTGGGAGGGTCTGAGAGGGGAGGTTAGGCGCAAATCAGGGGTCTGAGTGAAGATACGGCCACAAATGGGGGGAGCCTGAGAGAGGAAGCCAGGCTCTGAAATGGAGTCTGAAAGGGGAGCCGCAGCCTGGAATGAGGGGGCCCTGTGGGGAGCCGCAGCCTGGAATGAGGTGTCTTGGGGGGGACGCAGCCTGGAATGAGGGGGCCTTGTGGGGAGGCACAGCCTGGAATGAGGTGTCTTGGGGGGGACG